TATACATATATATATATTTGATGTGGTTGCCAATGCTAAAATGCAAGAGTGAGGTAGCTCGAGAGAAACGTTTTTATTTAAAAGTGCAGGTGCTCGTGACAAAAAAAAATCTGGTTTCTATTAAGTGCTTGTCAAAACAGACCACGATATCTAGTAGACAGTACTGTTACTTATACAGAAGCAAGGGAATAATATAACAAACTACAAATACCTAGCATCTAGATCATATTCGTGCATAAACTTTGAGATTGATATCATCCGTGGCAGCACGCGCTTTTCTAGGATGATCTCCAGCTCCTTCAAATTCTTTGCATCAACGGTGTTTTTATCCGTAGCCTTCCGCAATGCCACTTGGACGTACGCCAAAGAAGCTTGCGCTCTCGTCTCTATTTCCTCCCAGCTATCCATTATCACATGTAATCCGACATACCGTACAAGTCCAAATATGGCATGTGATTAAAGCAATTCCATATATATATATTTACCTCATAATCATTGATAAATAACAAAAATCAAGAGAGGGTCCAAAATCAATGTACATAATTATTTTTAGGAGGCTACATCCTACTGCTGTACATATTTTGAAACAAAATATATTTACAAAACTCTATAACCCTATGTATCTATGTATCTTTTTAGTTTTTTTTATGGCCGGATGTATTTAAAAAAAAATAGCTGTGTAAAGTGTATACAGTTAAAAAAGACAGGGTTGGTGCTCAATTTTTAGAAAAAGGTTTTTACATACTTCATAGGTCATAGGAGCCGTCGAAAAAACTAGAGGTCTACTTTCATCTATGTACAATTCTACATATAGTTATATATCATAGCCTCCGAACGAACCTCGATATTTAGCTCTATTTATTAATTCACGAGGTGCAGCCTGCCGCGCAAGGCGGTATGTACGCATAGAGGATCGAGCTTTAGGTCTTTGATTTATGTGGATAGTGATTTTCTACGAGGTCATACAACCCTCTAATACGATAAAAACGAGTTTGCACAGGTTTCACTTGCGCCATTCACACCGTCACACCATCACACACCATTGCATGCAATCGCGATCGATTGAACAACTGAAATACCCAGTAGAATGATTATATAACTAAATTTACTAAACGTCGTAGAAGCACCGCTCCTTCTCTTTTTGGTGGTTATATTAGCTTAGTAATTGATTAGAGTGAAGGTCAAGGAATCAGTCATAGAAAGCATAGCGATGGCTACAAAAATCAAGTTGTTCAACGATTTTTTTAAATACAACGGTTTTATTTGAACCCGATGAACTAAATAGTAAATATTTATTTATGTAGATTGACATTTGACGTCTTGACGATTGTATTGGTGTAGTACATAGAGTCATAGAGTGAGTGAGAGACACTCTCAGGGTCAGAGTCAGAAGTGTGTGTGAGAGAGTAGTGAGAGTATTTTTTTAGTAAAGTAAATATATATAAAAATAAATAACCAGCAATTTCCCGGACAAATAGTCAAATACAATACGTGTGAATCGGTGATTGTGATTTGGGCGCGCACCGGTAATGATTGGCTTCAAACTTTAATTTACAGGCTTCCACCAAGCCTGACCGAGACCTTAAAATGCCGTACATATAATTGGTGGAAAAACGTACTTTTCTGACTACATATCAACTTTTCCATTTGTTTGTTTTATAAAAATACCATAATTTATTTTGACATATTTGTAGGCTATGGTCTTCACTTTCATGTGGAATATTATCATACGACATCACCACTACTGACGCGCGACAGGCATGCAGTCATAAATATATGAATGAGGTGCTCAGCTGACATCATGTCATATTATAGCCAGTCGAAGTTGCAAATAACCACGGACAACTATTCATCACCATGGCCCCCGAAGGAGCGATCAAATGCAAGGCTGCAATTGCGTATGCTGCTAATGAGCCCTTGAAGATCGAAGAGGTATCGCATCGTATTTTTTTTAATGGCTAACCGAGTCACTCGGATCACTTCCTTCGCAAAATAGACGTAGATCCCACGTGCAGAAAATCACTTGGCTTCCTATTTACACTTTCCCACTATCATATTGATAATTGGCTTCCTATATACACGTTAAAATTTATTACCCTGTTTTCTTTGGCATGTACAAGTAGATATAATTGTCATTTATTGCATTGATTTTCATATACACAGATATACGTTGGAGCCCCCAAGGCTGGTGAAGTACGGGTGAAGGTTGTCGCCAACGCGCTCTGCCATACAGATATCTATACTCTGGTATGTTTCAAGAAATTGCCATTTTGAATCACATTTCACGCGAGTTGTATCGCTAACACAATTCCATAAATTTAAGCGCTGATCTATGTTTAAGTAGAAGTAGTTGGTCTTTCTGTCGCGGTTGCACGCTACGCTTGGCACATTCGTTAAGATGGGCTCTGATACAGACATATATATATATATATATATATAATAATAATAATTACAGTCAGGTCAAGATGCCGAGGGAAAGTTCCCTTGCATCCTCGGTCACGAAGCTGGGGCAATTGTGGAGAGTGTGGGTGAGGGTGTCACCTCAGTCAAGGTTGGCGATCACGTCATTCCCTGCTACACCCCCCAGTGCAACGAAGACGTAAGTTTTATATTATAGATCAATATTTCTCATTTCATTTGTACAATGCATTGTAGTATATTCTTTGCCTGTGTATGTGTCTGTCTTCTATATTGGAGCTGATACTGTCGATAAGTACTTTCTAGATGTACCTGCTTGCCTTATTAATTTGACGCGGGCAGTTTGCTTTTCGCCGCAAGTTTTTTTTTCAGGCTCGCGCAACTAACTTCTTCCATATCACATTCTTAATCATATTCGACTGCAGGACTGCATTTTCTGTCAGTCACCAAAAACAAATCTTTGCCCAAAGATAAGATCTACACAAGGCCAGGTGAGCATGTGTAGCAATTCTCCGTCAGCCATGTACGCGCTACGCCGAGACCAAAGTGCCGACGTATCCCTCTACCATAACCCGAAATTCTTCCTTTTGTGGTTCCTACACTGTCGTATCCTGATGCGCACTAATAGAACAAAATATGTAGTAGATCTATGTTATACACATCGTATACGCATAGAGCGTTAGGTTCATGTAGTGTATGTAACCGTATATCTGCGAGTATTATCAGGCGTTCAGTTATGCCTGCGTCACATATATACGTTGTATATATATATATTTATACACACACACACACACACACACACACACAC